CGTGCTCTTGACAATCGTGCTCTTCACCTGCAGATGTCGATCGTAGTTATACCGATTCATGTGGGAATAGATGACCAATGAGGCTCCACCGATCATAACAAAAGAAACTACTTCCGTTCAACATGACGAGTCCAACACCACTCCCATCGAATAGTAAGGACACAAAACGGATGAAGGAAGACCATTGAAGTGCAATAATACAAGTAGAGGTCAGAATCCTAGAAGTCCCAGTCACCACCACCATCACCACTGAACCAAGAGCCGCCGCTATCATCAGTCATTCCCTGATCATTATCGCTACCTGAACGTAGGAATCGTGGCGTAGACCCGCTTGAATTAGGTGTATTACTGAACCACGAAGTACCATTGTCGCCCTCCAATCCAGTCGACGAGTCGTTCGTAGCAGTAGTAGACGAGGAGGACGACTCCATCGCCGACGATGAGTCTGAAACGGAATTTACTACAACGGCACAGACGCCACTCATTCAAACAGTAGCAATGAACGAGAGAGGAAGCTATTCAATCGCCTCAGAGCTTCAGTACCACTACTTCCGTATTCCCTGCTCAACAGGGTGGGAGGAATACACGTCCGCTCTCCTCAGCTGGGCTCAGGAGTTTCCTCACTAGTTATAGAAGCTTAAACGAGCTTGAGTAGATGTGTCGAAAACCCAACAAAAATTTCCCAAAATTTCCTCAGAATTTTTCCGAAATTTTCCTATTCTCGCCGACACATAGTTAACGATGTGCATATTTTCCCACACTGCTCCTCAATGGGGCCGCTATGCCACTCACACATAGTTGACGATGTGCATATTTCCCCACACTGCTCCTCAATGGGGCCGCTATGCCACTCCATAACGTGCATTGGTGCAATGAATTCCCTAGACCCGCGGCGAAGTCATTCTAATTTCGACGACGTGCGAGGCTTATTATACTCGATGGGGCCGATATGCCATTTCATGACTATCACCAAATTCCATAAAAAGATTCTTCCAACAACATACGCGTTCCAACCCCGAGGTGGCATACCTGCCCCAGAGGAATAGACCTCACTACAATATAGACACCGGGCTGATATTTTCAGCGTTTTTGGACGAGTCAAAAATACACCATTCTCCATTGCACTCATCACTACCGGTTTAAAACGTCGTCCACTCAAAGATGTAAATACAATATCTCGTTACGGTGAATACATGATAAGTTCACTAAGGAACCACCATAATTACCTTCATTATGATGTACAACCTCCATTGTTCTCGGACCGAACAAGCCATCCATCATTCTCATCCCCATACCCCATCCTAATCCTGACGCCATGCCGTCAGCAATGGCTCCGAGTATTCCTACCATTGAGAGAATGATGATATTCCGCCACCACGATATACCTACCTGGCCTTCTACTCATCGCCGGTCCTGGTACTTGACTCGCTTGATTTTGAGCAACCTTCACAACCCCGAAAGAAAATCGCCTACCAATCTTCTGAATTACCTGGCCATCACTAGTCTTCGTCACTGCCTCTTGAGCCGCCTCTCCATGTTTCTGCTGTTGTTGATGGTGACTGTTGTGACTCCTTCTACCAAAGCTGGGCTGATTCCTGGACCGTATCTCATTAGCTCGTCTTCCAGTAGCAGCGCTAGCCCGAACAAGTAATCCTTGGTGAATCCGAGGGAAAGTCGGAAACATGATACGTTAATGACAATAGATACTAACGAGTTGCCCAGTAAAGTAATTCTTGGATCGATATCCACTCTTGAAATGTGGTCGATAGTAAAAGTTGGTTGAGCAAACTCCTTGCCTTGTGAGCCCAGCCGAGTGAACACTAGTTCGAACAACTTAATTCGATCTACGACAGAATGGGCGCGGTTTCAAACATCGCACAAAAATGTTCAAAAACGCAAGATTCGGTGGATGGACAAAATTTTGCATATCAATTTCAGACACAAAGTAGAATGAGTATTGCAGAGTCAAACGGGGATCAGCGAGTACCCTTCGGATAGCTGCTGTTGAAATAACTTTACATCAAAGGAACCTTCATTCGCTGCGGTTCTCGAGTTGCGAGAGTTTCATCATTTTTACACGTGTACCGCGCGGCACGTGGTGAACTACAAATTGCGACTGATTGACAAACATACTATAGACAATCATACGGAGTATTTTGATGAGACTTCGGCGAGATATTAGGGCTAAGCCCTAACCTGATGATGCTGAGTCATCACTATATTGATCCGCCTCAGACGATCACGATGGAGAGAATGATACGACTGCAGAGACGGTCCGTCTCTCCAGTATCTGCGGAGATGGCCTCAACCAGATTCACCGCTCCACAGCCAAATGATGAATTATCATTGCATATCGCTAAGTTGGACCGTCGATAGACCACGGACACACTGCAGAGCTGGAATATGCCTGCACTTTTCCCTATCGTCATAACTTGTCGAGATTATGGAATTGATTTAACTCCCAATGGAGAGGGATCGTTGGTAGAATGGTGGATCGTCGAGAAGATAGAAAAAAATGGTAAGTGAGTTCGTTCGATATTCACATGAGAAATTTCCCTTTCCCGAAATTGGCCATTTTTTCGATCACTCTGCATGATCGAATTTGTTCCCAGATCTATGACATCACAGCTATCTTCACTCATAGACAGTGATGTTCTATCAGTTCGTTCGGGCAATATCAGAATCAACATAAATACCACACTTTCTCGCGAGTTCATGAACACGACAACGGTTGGAATTAAAACGAATGCGTTAAGACACACTAGGATGCCCGAAATGTATATATGTCGGCAGTTAGTCGTCATCTATTCCATGCACCACGAAAGAAAATCATCATGATCATTGATGAGACTATTCGACCACCAGCGACCTTCAAGGGCTCTGATAAGTATCGAACGTTGTTCGGCCCACCAGCAAATGGTAACAGTCCGGCTTGGGCTCAGAAAAGCAGGACGAATTGGCGACCCTTCATGAGAAATACGAACGGCAGCGCGATAGTGGAAAAGCATTGCCACGAGATGCAGCATGGGAGGAGAAACGCCGAAAATTCCTGGGGCGGCGGGCTGCTCACACAAGATCTCCGCTTGTTGGCGCTCTAGGAGATCAACACGCCGACAAGGGGCAGTATCAGAGGAAAGTGCATGATGAACGGTCAAAACGTGAGTTGGAGAGCCATCCCGAGGAACCAGAGCTCGCAGCGTATGCGAGTTCGGGCAAACAGACGAATACGAATGAAGCGGCGAAAGTAGATGCAGATAACAGAGATGACGGTTCGCGAGAAACTAGCAAATCTCCTACGACTAGGTGGGAACGCCGATACGCCGCGAGCGAAGCCGTACTGGCTGGCATTGGAGAACACGAGGAAATAGCAAGAACCGTTAAACAGAGGGAGAAAGAGAATCTCCAGGAATATCTAAAGCGACAAGCGGACAACACTAAGGTGAAACTTTGCACTGAGTTTCTGATGGAATCTCTAATCGCTAGATTACGTCAACTCGTCCACGATCGCCGGAAGGTGGCGTGCTGCCGGGCATAGGCAATTCGAGTATACGCGAAGTGGAACGAAGGAGAAAAGAAATCCAAGATGACATGCGACGTTTCCTTGCTCATCAACATCGAGGTGAGGTTAAGTTTAGGTAATCGAAATGTAAAAGGACTCGTTAGCACTCCTGAGGTTGATTATTCTCTGCTCCATGGTGACTAGATGTACACACTCTTACGCCGTGCAGGCCGCCGAGTCAATTCAAACGTCCCTGCACCAACGGTAACTGGGTGGTCGACATCCATGGTCAGCGCCAGAGACGCAGAAAAGGGATCAGTTCCGTATCAACCTCTGGGTGGGATGAGTATTTCTTGAAGGCAACGACTGTCTGGTCTTCCTCAGTGTCGAACGAACGACCCGCTGCCGAGGATGGTGGAGGTGGTGGTGTCCTGAGGGGCTTGGGAGATGCTGAGGCGAAGAGGAAAGAGGATTTGAGGAGGCAACAGAAGGAAGATCTTGAAACTTATTTACGCCACGAATCGCCTAACAGTTGTGAGTTACTCGCGTCACCGAGTGTTCTACTATTCCCAGTATCTCGACGGGTCGCCAGAGTGCGTTTGGAGTCACCCTCTCCTCCTATCACGAATGTGGATCCGAGAGAAGAGGAACTCCGTCAACGCAAGAAGCAACAACAGGATGAACAGAAGAAATGGTTGGACGAACAGGTGAGCCAGTATTGGGCAAATCATTATCCCTCACATTGCAGTAGAGGAATACTTCATCTCATACATTCCGAATAGATTAGTGAGCAAGAATCGCCGGAGGCTGATAAATGAAGCCTCTCCAGTGAGGCTCGCAAGCGTTGGGCCGGCCAGCTTTGCCGATCTACCAAGTAACTCAGCAAAGGACGCGTGAACGAGAGTTAGTAGCCATGGACTCTAGGCAGAGGAGCGAACTCACTATTTTCCCTTAAAACTTAGAGCTAACTACTAAAGTCGCTGAGGAAAGCGAACATCTATTCCAATACTGGAGATTGCTTATGCCGTGCTAGTCGGCATATATGCGTATTAACGAGTCACTACTGTGCTGAATTATACGTCTGCCGCAGACGATCTGCGAGCAACACGTCTCTCAGATCGTCATGAGAGCTAAAGCGAAAACACTCGAGATCGAGAATAGGAAACGAGAGGAGGCCGCAGAAGAGGCTCGCATTAAAGCTGAGGTGCGCGTGATTACTCCACACACTCTCTACGATATAATGCCAAGATTGAAGACGAACGGAGGAAACACGAAGAGGAACAGGCAGGAAGGAGACAGCGTATGATGAGTGCACATCAGATGAATATCAATGAGGCCACAAATAAAGCTAAGAACCGGTAAACTCATTCCCGTTATGTAATCTTCATACGGAAGATATGCACATGGTCAACTACATATGTTGGTGATAATAGAGAAACCCTGAGGAAACTTAGGGAGATGTTCATTGGTTTCGGTACATTTATATGATATAAATTATATCTAAGCTCGGTCTGAGGCTTTTCACTTTTCTGAAATATATATGTATATATATTCACTTTACGTGTATATATATACATATATATTCCAACACTGTCCCCACAGAACTCCAGGCGAACGAACTGAAAAATAAGAAGGTCTTCAGGCCCGAGTCATTGTCGCCTCAGCGCCGGCCTGTTGATACGAAACTCTCCAAGGAAGAGTTGAAGGAGCCAGTTACACATGAAGTCGTTTCTGTAGCTGAGCAAAACACACACAAGGAGCACGACATCGCTGTCGGCACCTCCACTGTGCATATTGAACCTGGCGACCGGCCTACCCGAGACGACCGTGAGGCAAGGCCTGCCGATCGTGGCGCTCAGTCTGAGCTACGCAATGAGAACTCAGTGTTGTTCAACGCCGTTTTCGAACAGCAGAGGAAGCTTGGAGAGCAGCATGCCGCCATTGACGAACTTCGACGAGTGATGGCGGATCGGGTGGGCCGCAAAGTATTCTTGACGTGCCCTCAAGGATCATTCCGTAGACGGCTTTGAGAGGATCGAGCGCAGTTCCGCATCAAGGTGAGAATGAAGTTGTTCGCGCCCAGCAGCAGAAGTTGCAAGACCTCATGCAAATGCTCCTCTCCAGACTATCAGAACCGGAGAAGCCGAGCCACACAGTGAGATTCCACATCTAGTCTTGCTCTCCTTCCATTACTCGTGACAATGCCGTGATGGGAGCGAGTCGTCTGATATAGTCATGTCCAGGGACTTCCTCTCGTAGGAAATCCGTGAGAGTAAAACTGCTGATGCGGAAGAATCGTTGGAAGAATTGAATAAGAGTGATACTAAACCTTTGCCGGTACTCGAGTTCACTTGGTGGACCTCTGCCACCTCTCAGTTATCAGGTGAAAGCGGTTTCCAACGTGGTTGAGGAGGTCCTGGAGTCTTCCCCTTCACGCCCGAATTCAACAGTAGGGGTGCTATCATCGAGTAACCATGATCTCGCTGACCAGGCACTGGATGGTGGATCGAGAGAGCATATGGTTCCACTGGTAGCGACTACTCAGAATCGAAGGGCCCGCGAACTGAAAAACTTCGAGCTTGAGTCGGACCGAAAGAGCATCTTCGAACGTAGCTTGGTCGGAACACGTATATGGCTGCCGGTTCCTCGCGTCCCTGCTCCTCGGAAAAAATGTCAACCTTATGATTTACGAGCTCACGCCCATTCGGGGAACCAATTGCGAGAGAAGTCTGTAGAGCTACAGTCGGCTGGACGACAGAATCCGAGCAGAAGCCCATCGATGTATGATCGGCCTCAAAGTTGCGGGAATTCAGCGATGGGAGACAAGACGGATATCTCGAGCGTGGACGAAGGGAAGCTTGAGAGAGTCGTGCGAATGATCAAGAGGATGCGTGAAGTGGAAGAGTTGAGAACTTCCCCAATATCGTCTCCCACTTCCTCGGCTGATCACATGTCGTTGGAAGATGCGTCACCTCAGCGCAGCTCTACGTCTTCAGCTGTGGCGCCACTATCGAGACCGCCTTCTGTTCCACCGACGCCCATTCACACTTCCGGATCCTCACGAGGCTCTCACAACTACTCGAGAGACCGAGTCGATCCGTTCCTCCAAACGGTGGTGCTGAGCGAGCAACTGGATCGATCTAGCTCATCGACGCTCAGTCCGACCGAGTCCCCCCTGTGGTCGTCTACAATCAAGGAGGATCTACTGGAAGCAGTCGATCGGATTTGCGCCGAATGTGATGCCACAACCTCACACCTGACTAGTGCGTTCAGGATCGACGAATCCACAGTCGGCCGAGGTGGAGGTGCGCGAGGTGAGGAGGAGAAGTCACCCCCAGTGAGAGCGAGGCCTTTCAAAGAACTCGAACGATTGTTATCGTCAAATAGCTTGAGTCTGGATAAGGAGATGATTAGTAAATTGAAATTGATGACGTTATGTGGAAGCAATCAGAGCGAGACCCATGCATAGAGGACTGCGATGGTTCTGTAAAATAAGTGTATCGCGTTGTTCGTGGTGGGATGGTTGTTGTTGTTTCTCTTGCACACGGATAGAGAATCCTCACGCAGTTATCTCTCACATGGTTCGCATGTTCTCTGTGCAACTCTGATCGATTGAACAACATTTTCGGCGAGGATCTCTACTGTGGCTTTGTTCGCTGACTGGCGTTCCGAGAATGATCGTATCAGTGGCAGG